TCAAGACTAATTTTGTCATTCTTTCAAAACTGATAAGAAACTGGCATTGAGTGGAGGCACCCTCTTGAGAAATGGCAATTCTGGTAAAATTGTTGAGCGTAATTGCAGGCATAGGAACAACTTACTATATCAGATGGTGAGGTGATACTGTGTGTTATAAATGATATTACATCATGATCATCTGGTGAACAAGAGAACATAAAAACTTCATCAATGCGTGACCACGTAAATAAATATTAAACAAACAATCAAACAGCAACTGAACAAGCACAATTACTATACAGTACTAGACTGACTTAAACTAAAGAAAGCTTTGGATTGATAAGGATGCAGGGTGCGATCATTCAAGATTTCTAGTCGTACCTGACTGGTACGCCAATGGTTGTTGCGGCGTACTTGCGCTAGAACAAACTCAGTACTCAATGTGTACTTAGTCTTTAAAAATTTGGTTCATAAAGTACAGGTTTCTGAAAAGTACGTTCAGACTACGAGATAGCAAACGGAGTTTTGCTATTTGAAAAGGGAGTTTTGCTATTTGAAAAGGGAGTTTTGCTACTTGAAAAGGGATTTTTGCTATTTGAAAAGGGTATTTTGCTATTTGAGACGGGTGTTTTGCTATTTGAAAAGGGTGTTTTGCCGTATTTGAAAAGGGAATTTTGCTACTTGAAAACGGAGTTTTGCTATTTGAAAACGGAGTTTTGCTACTTGAAAACGGAGTTTTGCTATTTGAAAAGAAAGTTTTGCTATCTGAAAAGAAAGTTTTGTATATTTGAAAACAGAGTTTTGCTATTTGAAAAGGGAGTTTTGCTATTTCAAACAACCGACTCCAACGTTTCTTAGTGCCATCAGTGCGATCATGTTTCATGCCAAGACATCTCAGACACATGATATACCAACTAAATTACGGTATTGAATACCTTGGACTTGGAAAGGTCATGCGGACCAGCAAAAAGTAAGTACGCAGATAGCAAGAGTTCCGCGTACCTACGTGCTACGTGGCTGAAAACAAAGAAGTACCAGACAGTAATATTAGCGTACCTCCGGTGCGTAAGTACGCGAATTATCGCAACCTGAAGGATGCAAGTACTACGTGAAAAATACAAGGAGAACTTCTACAATTCGAACGAAGGCACTACTAATGAAGGGCCTTTCCTTCTACTTTCCAGGTACTTGCATCTCTATCAATCCAAAGCTAGACCTTTTAAAGTCGAGTGAGTAGCAGGCCTTAAAATATCGGTCGGTCACGGACATTGTCCGACCCACTCGTGAAATTGTCCGACGTAGAAAAGAAACCACCGGACATTCTGTCCGACCTAAGTGAAACTGAGGTTTATTGTTTGCCCGACCCGAGTGTATTGGTGTCCGACCGAACTGTAGCTTTGTCCGACGTAAATCAAAATGTACCCTAGCCCCGGACTAGAGGCAGACTTGTATGTTAAATGGAAAATCAGAGTACTATTGTATAAAAGGTCAACTGGAAATGTTGTTTTAACGTAGTCGAGCGCGGGGCGGCGAGCGAAATGGTGAGGTGGAAAACGGGCTTAAGTTGTCGAAGTCGTTTTGATACTGCTGTTCTGGCAAGTATGTATGAAAGAAACAAATTATTTAATATCTTTACAACATTTACCGTTTATTCATTTGTGTCAATCGGACTTATTTCCGAGTCAAAAATGAACTGAAGGTCATTGGACATATGCAGTGAACTCTCTATATATATATATATCTGGAACGATAACATTCAGTCATTTGATTGCAAAAACAATGAAGCCTCGATACCAGTCTTTCACGCGGATTGGACGTCAGTCTCAGTCCCTCAAACGTCAGGTTTACGCGGATTGGACGTCAGTTTCATTCCCCCTCTGCAAACCGTTGCACGGCCAGTATAAATTTGAACGCAATCACGAAAAAAAAATTAAAAACATGGCCAACTCAATGCAATACATTGTAGGAGCAAACAGTTTTGCTCCTAAAATTTACTGCATTTCGGTTCGCTGTCGGAAAAAAGTCGAGGAAAACTTCCCCGTGTGGAGAAAAGAATCACTTTTTCAAATATATTGTGTCGTACTGTCGTTCTGGATGCACAAGGAAAGAGATGTTCTTGCGAGAAAATTTCATTTCACAGGTAGGTAAATTGACTTGCAACTGTGACTTTGCCGTTGCCATTTTTCGCGATTGTTTGAATTGTTTTTTTTAGTTTACCAGTTTTATAGTTTTTAGTCAATACACTGGTACGTTATTTTTTAAAGAATTTATTGTGTAATCGGAATTTGCCTGCCAGCAAAATGCAAATGAATATGTACGTGTGTTTGAATATAAATTAGACCGTATGGGCTTAGTTATGAGCTTAACAACGTTTCGGAGTATAACTCCATCTTCAGGTTTATAAAAGTGAATAAAGATATAAAAACTGTGATAAAAACTTTCAAAACAATTACAATTTTTTTATGTAAGTGATTTTTAATACTGTAAGAAAGTTCTTGAACAGTTGATGACGAAGACAATGACGAATACTTATGTCGTGATTTTTCTGTCGGCTTCACTTTTCGCTCGCTGTTATCGTTCCAGATATATATATATATATAGAGTTCACTGGACATATGTCCGACCCAAACTCAACGCAGTGAACTCTATATATATATATATCTGGAACGATAACATTCAGTCATTTGATTGTGAAAACAATGAAGCCTCGATACCAGTCTTTCACGCGGATTGGACGTCAGTCTCAGTCCCTCAAACGTCAGGTTTACGCGGATTGGACGTCAGTTTCATTCCCCCTCTTGCAACCCGTTGCACGGCCAGTATAAATTTGAACGCAATCACGAAAAAAAATTAAAAACATGGCCAACTCAATGCAATACATTTTAGGAGCAAACTGTTTTGCTCCTAAAATTTACTGCATTGAGTTCGCTGTCGGAAAAAAGTCGAGGAAAACTTCCCCGTGTGGAGAAAAGAATCACTTTTTCAAATATATTAATGTGTCGTACTGTCGTTCTGGATGCACAAGGAAAGAGATGTTCTTGCGAGAAAATTTCATTTCACAGGTAGGTAAATTGACTTGCAACTGTGACTTTGCCGTTGCCATTTTTCGCGATTGTTTGAATTGTTTTTTAGTTTAGCAGTTTTATAGTTTTTAGTCAATACACTGGTACGTTATTTTTTAAAGAATTTATTGTGTGATCGGAATTTGCTTGCCAGCAAAATGTAAATGAATATGTACGTGTGTTTGAATATAAATTAGACCATATGGGCTTAGTAAAAACTTATTTTAATAACTACGTTTCGGAGTATAACTCCATCTTCAGGTTAAAAGTGAATAAAGATATAAAAACTGTGATAAAAACTTTCAAAACAATTACAAATTTTATATGGAAGTGATTTTTAATACTGTAAGAAAGTTCTTGAACAGTTGATGACGAAGACAATGACGAATACTTATGTCGTGATTTTTTTGTCGGCTTCACTTTTCGCTCGCTGTTATCATTCCAGATATATATATATAGAGTTCACTGACTCAACGTCACCGGACATTTTGTCAGACGACCCTGGAAAAGATATTTTAAGGCCTGGGGCCGGTTGTATAAAAACGTAGTTAGCGCTAACTGCAGTTAAAAAGTAGTTAAAAAGCCTTAAAAAATAGTTAACTTTAATCACGTAGTTAAGCCGGTTGTATAAAAGTGTAGTTAGCCTTAACTGCAGTTAAAAAGTAATTAAAGTTAACTATGCTTTAGGGTATAGTTAACTGTCCAAAACGTAGTTAAAAATGGCGTTTGTATAGGAGTGAACAACATTTTTCAGTAAAACAATAATGAAAAGCAACGCTTACCCGAGATTTTCAATCGCTATCTTCCCTGTGAATGTTTCCTGACAATATAAACTCTTCAAACGCTATCGCTTTGGTGTTTTTACGAAAACAGAACATATTTTTGCACAGGACGATTTCTCGAAGACGAAGTATGGTCCATTACACCAAGAAACACTGATATATAATTGCCAAACAGCTATACCTTGGTTTAACATAGACATCTCAAGGAAAACTGCATTCTTTTATGATTTTTGTGGCGGTTTTTCCTTGTTTTCTTGTATATTTTTCACTGTTTTCTAGTGTTTTGAATAAAATTCCCGCCTATTTGCAAAATACGAGTCCACAATCATGTTGAAAATGTGTGTCAGCGGTCGTTACTCGCTGCTTACTTTATATAATTTTGTGTTTAAACGCCCCACGCAAGCCCCACGCACAGTTAACTACGTGATTAGTTAACTATCCGACTAACTACGTTTTGTGCAACGCAGTTAAGTCATGTAGTTAACTAATTACAGTTAAGGATTTAACTACAGTGATTAACGCTAACTACAGTTAGCGCTAATTACGTTTTTATACAACCGGCCCCTGCTGAGTAGACCCTAGACTAGAGCTTAAACAGACCTGCTAATCCACCAGTAGCAGCAGATACCCCAAACACTCCTGTCTTTGGTAAATGAACACTTTCTACTCTTGTACACAGTTCATACTCTGGTTTTTCTGCCATGCCTTGATGGAACCATACCTGATAAATTGCGAGAGTAACCCTCAGTGATTGACAGATTGTGCCACAATCGGAAATTACTAATAGACCTTTCCCTTATGAGTGAAATTTTGATCTAGACAAGTCTGGACAAACATTTCATCACAGCTTGAAAGAGCATCACAAAATTAGTAATATTCCGAAGTGTCGTTTTGCGAAATGCTGTAAAGTGAGGATAATATAGCCCTGCGAAGTTTGCCGTTTTTCAGTTATTTTGTATTACGCACAGGAAATTGGTAATCAGTTTGATCATCTGATTATCAATTTCCATTTGTAATGCAAAATGACTGAAAAACGGCAAACTTCGCAAAGCTATATTAACCGCATTTTACAACATTTCGCAACGAAACTTCGGAATATTACTAATTTTGTGATGCTCTTTCAAGCTGTGATGAAATATTTGTCCAGACTTGTCTAGATCAAAATTTCACTCAAAAGGGGAAAGGTCTATTACTAAAAATGTTGTGCTGAGTGGTTATATTACTACCTTAAAAAATAAGCAGAAACTCGACGTTTCGAGCGAAGGCCCTTCGTCAAGGCCAGGGGCTTTTTTAAGGTAGTAATATAACCACTCAGCACAGCATTTTTACACTGGTACTACCTACATTGGTACAGACAGTTTAAGGTCTATTACTGTGCGTATTCATGCAACAATTCCACCCGATACGGATTTTGTAATGATGTCATAATGTCAGTTGACCGAGTGTGACGTCATTTGTAATTTCTAAGCCAACATGTTACTTTAACCACAGTTCATTAAAACTGTTCATAAACCGGCATGCTTCACACATTAATTTAACACATTATGTTAAACTGCAATGTGTATCAATGTACAATGTATGTAATTTTTAAAGTGTGTCAAATTATCAACGATCAGTTTTACACAATCAGAAATACCAATAATTCTAACGATTCCGATTGTCTACCAGTAAGACAAAAATCGACCCTGATACAAATAACCCTTCACACACATGATCTTAGAATGATCACTTGAACAATTCTAAGGAGTGTACTATGTGTACATAATTATTGCTCATTAAATAAATAAAATATACCATATCTAATATTTTTCTAAACATTAGACTTACTGTGAGGACATTTTCGTAATAACGAGCTTTTACTCTAACAGGATAAGGACGATTTCTGAAATTTCTTAAACATCCACCTTGTTGGTTGCCCCCATCACTAAAGAAAAATTATACAAATATGGTCTAGCATCATACTAACAAGATTGAAATCAATTACTACATAATAAGTTAAAAGTCACAATATATCACTGATGCAAAATAGTCAAAATTTGCTACTAATTTCCTGACGAAGGGTCTTCACTCGAAACATCAAAGTTTGTAACTAGGCGTATCTCAATATTTGTAACTAGGCGTAAAAAAAATACCTGTGGTTCCGGTTTCATATTGTGAAAAAATTAGGGTCGGTAGGTCGGAAATAAATTTTTTTTTTAATATTTTTTTCATGGTTTTGGCGGTTTTTTGCTGGGCGATTTGCAGTAGAGTC